TATGCTTAGGCTTAGGCTTAGCTTAGGCTTAGCTTAGGCTTAGCTTAGGCTTGTCATCGGCTTATCGTAGGCTTAGCATAGGCTTATGCTTAAGCTTATGTTTAGGCTTAGCTTAGGCTTAGCTTAGGCTTGGGTTTAGCTTAGGCTCGCTTAGGCTTAGCTTAAGCTTAGCGTAGGCTTATCTTAGGCGTAGCTTAGGCTTAGGCTTAGGCTTAGACTTAGGCGAAGGCTTAGGCTTAGGCTTATGCTTCGGCTTTGGCTTAGGCTTATGCTTAGGCTTAGGCTTTGGTTTAGGCTTGATCTTAGGCTTGAGCTTAGGCTTGGGCTTGGGCTTAGGGTTGGGCTTGGGCTTTGGCTTTGGGCGTAGGCTTAGGCTTTAGGCTTGAGCTTAGGCTTAGGCTTAGGCTGAGGCTTGGGCTAACGCCCAGGCTTAAGCTTAGGCTTGGGCTCGGGCTGAGGCTTGAGCTTATGCTTAGGCTTATGCGTAGGCTTAGGCTTAGGCTTAGGCTCGGGCTGGGGGGTTAGGCTTAGGCTTAGGCTCAGGGTTAGGCTTAGATTCAGCTTATCATAAGCTTAGCATAAGCTTATCATAGTCTTGGCTTAGGCTTAGGCTTGGGCTTAGCTTAGGCTCAGCTTAGGCTTGACTTTGGCTTAGCTTAGGCTTAGGCTTAGGCTTAGATTAAGCTTAGGCTTAGGCTTAGGCTAATGCTTCGGCTTAGGCTTAGGCTTGATATTCGGCTTAGGCTTAGGCTTAGACGTGGGCTTAGCCTTGGACTTAGGCTTCGGCTGCGGCTTAGGCTGAGGCTTGGGCTTAGGCTTCAACTTAGGCTGAGGCTTAGGCTTAGGCTTAGGTTTGGGCTTGGGCTTAGCTTTGGGCTTAGGCTTAGGATTAGGTTTATGCTTAGTTCGGCTTAGGATTGAGCTTAGGCTCAGGCTCATGCTTAGTCTTGGGCTTAGGCTTAGGCTTGGGCTTGGGCTTAGGCTAAGGCTTAGGCTTAGGCTCAGGTCTAGGCGAGGGAGTGAGGGCGCATTGCTCAGGCTGGCTCCTGCGCGGTGCCCTGGCTCAGGGGCTCGCGACATCGTGGTCGCTCATGGGTCGTGCGGTCTTTTTTTCATGTCTGCTCAGTTCCATCGGCTGCTCGCAGTGTACACTACCTCTGTTGTTTTTGCAGGTTGTCATCGAAGGTTTGCTCGGGAGCCCGCGCGCGACGTCGTGGTCGCTCATTGGTCGCGTGGTACGTCGTCAGTTTAGTTGGAAAAAAGCAACCATCGATTCCAGCAGGGGGGGGGAATAGGCCAGCGCCCATATGTGGGTCCATATCGCATCGCAGATTATACATTATATGTATACATATACACTGCCTATGCATATGGCATTCGCAATTTGGAATCCAGCCCGCTTGCCCACTTGCCCCACTTTCCCCGCTTGCCCCCCTCGCGCCGCTCGCCCCACTTGCCCCGCTGGGGCGAGTGGGGCGAGTGGGGCGAGTGCTTGGGCTGGTGGGGCGACTGTGGCAAGTGGGGCGAGTGGGGCAGGTGGGATTGAAGACTAAGCCCTTCTTCGCGGCCAGATGGCCGAGCTCTGACAAGCCGCGGAGGCCGCCAGCAGGAACTCAGTTTTCCTCTCCTTGCGAGCTGGCCCGCCGCGGGGAGGCCGCCAACGAACGCCGCAGGCAGTCTGCGACTCGGTGACCTCTACTTGTTCAAGAGCTCGTGCTACGACCTCACTAACGCCATGGCGGTGTACGACTCGGTGCAGTTCCTCTTGCGCGCCGTCAATTCCAGCCAAGAGACGCACTTGGATATTAGCAGCGACCTCGGATTTTCCTTGAGGTGCCTCACGACGGAGACGCACGGGAAGTCGCGTTTTGAAGCCGAGCGACACTGGGTTCGCACAGCGCTTCAGCATGCTCTTCGTCCTCAGCGCCGAGAACGACGCCTCGCAGGTCTGCGCTGCTTCCCGGGAGTTCAGGGGCGTCTAGGAGAGGTCTCGTAGCCCGTTGCTGTCGGAGAGGCTTCAGAAGTTCTGAGAGGGGCTTTAGAGCCGCGTAGTCCTGGGGGAGGCCCGCAGGCTGGCTGCAGAATCGTTGCGGGGGGCCTCGGGCCCCCCGGGGGCGCCCTGGGCCTCTGGGGCGAGGGGGCGAGGGAATCGCTTGGAGCTCCTGGGGGGGCGGGGGCGGGGGCCTCGCGGCCCCTGCGGGCCGACGCATGCGAGCAATTGATGTTTTGCTCCCGGCGGCATCGGGCCTCGGCCACGGCGCGCCCCTCCAGGATTCATTGTGGAATTGCTGCGGATGGCTGGGCCGCTTCGCAGAGCCGAATGAGGAGCGCCGCTGGCCCGGTGGCTCCGCGAGCAGCATGGCGTCCGCAGCGCTGCAGACCACGGGGGACTTCCTCGCAGAGAGCTCGGACGTGGACAAGAACTGGGCGCGGCAGCGCCTCTTCGGCGACGCGGACATCAGTCGTCGCGCCAACGTGGCACTGCGGTCTGCGCAGTTCTGCGGACCCTGGATGTCGATCCCAGGAAGGGCTTCGCCTGGCGCTGCTACAACGTCCGCGAGATGGCCGTGGCGCTCCACATTCGCCAGGTTCACATTCACCACGGTTTCTACATCTTGGGCGGCAGTGGCGCCGATGGGCAGCAGCGGCCCGCGCCGCCGCCGCTGCCGCCGGTCGGCGCGCCGCCGCCTTCCGACGCTGGCGGCGCCCCGCCGGCGTCCGCCGGGGGCTTCGGGGTGACCGTTCGGCAGTTCGATGCGTCTTTGACGAAGGAGGAGGGAGCGGTTGAAGCTCGCCGTGCTGAGGCGGCCAGGGTGCGGGGTTGAGTCGACAGGCTAGCTGCGCGTTGCCATGGAGGCGGCGTTGAAGAACGCGGGGGTCACTGGGGCGTCGCAGGCCTTGAAAACTGCCCTCGTCGCTCTGCGCGGCGCCCGCCTTGTGGCGTTCGCGGGGCAGCGCGGCGACCCCTCTGCGAGTGAGGGCGACGCGGGGCCCCGGGCCAAGATGCAGGACAAATGCGGTTGTTTCGCGATCTAATCCAAGAAGACGACGCGGGCCACCATCCAGAACAATCCGCAGTCCAGGGGGGCGGCGGATCAGCTGCGTCTGAGCGCTGGCAACTTCGACGATTGAGAGCAGGCTGCCACGCTGCCGCAGGCCTCGCAGCTGCCGCGAGCAGTTGCTGCGCATCCGCGCTGGGCTTTAGAGCGAGCCCTAGCGGTTGCCGCGGGCGTTGCCCTCGCGCGCGGCCGCGCGCGTTCGCTCGCGCGGAGCGCGCTTCAACTTCTACAGGGTCATGTCAAAAAGCGCGCGTGGATCGCGCGCGAGGCGCGGCCATTCCTCCGGGCGACCGCCGTTTGCAAGAGTGCCCCGCGCGGCCGGCCTGCCCGCCAGGGGGGGGGATTTGATTGCTTGCAGGCGGCGGCGCCGGCCTTTCGATGCTCGACCAAGTGGTCGAGGAGGATGTATTGGCTCAAAAGAAGCTTTTCCCACTTGCCTCACTTGCCCCACTTGCCGCAAGGCGAGTCTGAGCAAGCGGCCGAGCGGGGCAGGCGGGGCAAGTGGGGCAAGTGGGGCAAGCGGGGCAAGTGGGGCAAGTGGGGCGAGTGGGGCGAGTGGGGCAAGTGGGGCAAGTGGGCACGCGCGCAGCAAGTGGGGCAATTGGGCAGCTGGGCAGACTGCAAATAACGATGCCGTTTGCGCGTGCACTGTGTGTATATTATATATATCTATGTAACGAAGAACTTGTGGGCTCCTCACCCAATCGCACGCTCATTTATCTCTTTCTCTTACTCGTCATTCCGATGCACACAGTCGCATTTGGTCTTGGACATCAACACTTGATCCCCGCTTATGCTCCTATTCGGGCTGATTCGGACTCACTCGTGTCTACCCGCTAATACCCAGACTCGCCCAAACTTGATTCACCCTCGCCCAGACCAGCTCACATTCATAATCGCTCACAGTCAGATTCGCCAGCCCTCATATTCACTCATGCGCACTCATACGAAGACTCGGCCGCAGTCGGACTTACTCACGCTCAGACCCACTCGCACTTAGACTCGCTCGCACTCAGACTCTCTCGTACTCAGACCCACCCGTAATCACATTTATTATTTGCAGACTTCCCCACGCTCAGGCTGGATAGTGCCCGGGTCTACTCCAACTCCGATTCGCTCACACTCAGGTCGCCCACGTTCAGATTCTTTCGCATTCAGGCCCACACACAAGCGGCTACCGCGACATAGCCAGCATGGCACGTGGCACCCCAAATGCCAGCAGGTGCCGCGAGTGACCCGCCACAGAGCGGGCGTAGTCACGCCATGCTCGCTTGCTTGGGCTGCCGCGGGAGGACCGGCAGGATGACGTCTCCATCGCCCTTCCATTTGTATTTCCCCCCCTCTCTCATGACATATGTCCAGAGAAGGAGGAGGAGGAAGAAAAAGAGGAGGAGGAGGAAGAGGACGTCACTGAGGTCGTCGCTGTCGTCGTCGTCGTTGCCGCGCTTGTTGTCGACGCGGATTCGTTCTCACACCCATATGGTCATACACGTCATTCCTCAGCGAAACGAAACAGGACTACGAGATGCACATATGAGCGGCGCAACAATAACGGGGTCGTTTGCGCCGACATTGGCGCGTAAACTGCCCGCGTAAGCTCGCGCGTAAGCGCCCTCACCTCCAATGTAGCGTGCCGCGCTGGCGGCTCGCGTAAGCCGCCGCGTAAGGTCGCAATGCCATCTCGCGTAAGCCCCGTTGTTGATCATCGCTCCTGCGGGGATCACCGTGCCGATTTTTTTGGGGGGGGGCGTCCCAGAGGGAAGGGGACGACGGATGGAATCGAGAGGGGAGGAGGACGAGGAACATAGGATGAGGCCCGCGCAGCGCAGGTCTGGTCGCGGGCCGTGCTCTCGGGGGAGGGGGGAGGGAGGGAGGGCGTGCGGAAGGGGAAGAGGAGGCGAGGGCGCGCCGACGACGAGGACGACGACGAGCGGTGCGGAGGTGCTCCTGGCAGGGGCGGCCTCGCTCCCGCCGCCGCGGGCTTCCCCCCACATGCCAGTGCCGATCACTTTCGACTGGAGCGAGGACGAGGCGCGCGCGCGCGAACGGCGCGCTCGCGCCGCGTCGGCGCGGCGGCGACGCGTCGGCGTGGACAGCGCGGCATCGGCGCGGCCGCTCCACAGTGCCGTGTCCCCGCCCCGCCTCTCCCTCCGTCCGTTGCCCCGCCCCGCCCCGCCCCCTCCACTGGCCGGAGGACAGTTCGTCGAAGAGCGCGCGGATGCCGCGAGAGGTCCACGTAGGGAGCTTTCCGTGGGCGCCTGCCTGCAAAAAAGCTGTGTATATATAATTTTATGGATCATCGCGCTAATTTCTTGGATCGGCGCTGGATTCCCCCTGGTGGCGCCTTGGGCGCCGCCCCTGGCGCGCTCCGCGCGCCAGGGAGGGCGGTACAGCGCCGACTCGAGAAATCCGCGTCGACCTCCGAGAACTTCAGCTTACGCCGTCTTCTGTTTCTCCAAGCGGCGCGTGGCCTCCAGGAACCTGCTCGCATTTCTGTTCCCTCGGATCCAGCAGGGCGCACGCGATGAAGGCCCCGACGCATGCCGCATGCTCGTGATACCAGCTCCCGACCTCGGCTCCGTACACGTGCGCTGGCGGTGGTTGACTCCGGGATGTGTTCGCCGACGGTATTAGATTTCTAGGTCAGCCACGAGGGTGCGAAGATCATTGCGCTTCGCGCATCGGTGCCTGCTCCATGGGTAGGAGAACGCGAGAGCGCGATTCTGTACTGGCGTGCCGCGCGGCGCGAAGCGCAGAGCGCGGTGCCATCTTCCTCCTTTCGTTGCCGGCTCCTCGTCCGAGGCAGCGATCACCTTTGTCTTGCACGTCCGGGGCGCAACCGCGAAGACCGTGGACATTGCGCTGTGCGACGTGTACGTCAAGGACATTGGGATTAAGTCGAGCCTGTCTCTCTGCAGGAGGAATTTTCAAAAATAGTCAAAAATAGTCAGGGGACGATTTTTTGACTATGCTTAATGTGTGTGTGTGTATATATAACATATATATATATATGATTCTTTTCCCCAATCAGAGCTTGCCTCTGTAGGGGTCCTAGCAGCTTCATATGGTTAGATTAGCTGCGCTGCCGATTTTGGCGGCCCGCCCGGGTGCCCGGATGCCCGGGAGCTGCGTCGACGATTTCGGCGGCCCGCCCGGGTGGCCGGGTGCCGGGGTGCCCAGGCGCCCCATATCCCTATAGCCCTACATCCCTATAGCCCTACCGCATAGACCACCCTTCGGGTGATAAGGAGGTGAGGGGGGGGAGGGACCAACGTCGCACTCGATTGATCTCACTATCGAACTCACTACCGATCTAACAATCGATCTCAATCGATAGATCTCACAATCGATCTGACTATCGATCTCATACTCAATCTCACAATCGATCCCAGAATCGATCTCACATTCGGTCTCGCTATTGATCTCACAATCCATACCACAATCGATCTCGCATTCGATCTGGCTATCGATCTCACTATCAAACTCACTATCGATCTCATTATCGATCTCACATTCGGTCTCACTATCGATCTCACTATCGATATCACAATCGATCTCACAATCGATCTCGCATTCGGCCTCACTATCGATCTCTCTATTGAACGCACTTTCGATCTCATCATCGATCTCACTATCGATCTCACTATCGATATCACAACCGAACTCACAATCGATCTCACATTCGGTCTCATCATCGATCTCACTATCGAAATCACTACCGATCTCATTACCGATAGTGATCTCACTACTAACTCAATCGATCGATCTCACAATCGATCTGACTATCGATCTCACAATATATTCCACAATCGATCTCACATTCGGTCTCACTATCGATCTCACTATCGATATCACAATCGATCTCACAATCGATATCCCATTCGGTCTCACAATCTCACAATCGACCTCACAATCGATCTCATTATCGATCTCACATTCGGTTTCATAATCGATCTCACAATCGATCTCACAAGCGATCTGACATTCGATCTCACGTTCGATCTCACAATCGATATCACTACCGATCTCACTATCGATCATCAAAATAAAACATCAACATCGTCATCATCATCACCATCATCATCATCATCATCATCATCATCATCATCATCATCATCATCAATATCATCACCATAATCGGGACACCGACGGGGCACCGGCGGGACACCGCGGGCCCCCGGCCGCCCGGAAGGGAGACATTTGGTCCGGCCGCGCCTCAGCCACACGGGACACCAGCGGGACACCGGCGGGACACCGCGGGCCCCCGGCCGCCCTGAAGGGAGTCATTTGGTCCGGCCGCGCCTCAGCCACAGGAGACTTTCTCTCGCCCGCCCACGCAGCTTCGCCTCGCCCGCACGCACGGCACGCACGAACACGAAACCGAAATCGATTTCCCGGTAAGGGGGCTCTCCGTTCCACTTCGATCTCACCCCCTCACCTCCGATAGCCTTATAGCCTTATAGCCCTATAGCCCTATAGCACTACAGCCCCGTAGCCTTGCAGCCCTATAGCCCTATAGCCCTGTAACCCAATAGCCCAATAACCCTACAGCCCTATAGCCCTATAGCTCTATAGCCCTGTAGCCCTCTAGCTCTCTAGCTCTCTAGCCCTCTAGCCCTATAGCCTTCTAGCCCTCTAGCCCTCTAGCCCTCTAGCCCTCTAGCCCTCTAGCCCTCTAGCCCTATAGCCCTATAGCCCTATAATCCTATGGCCCAAGAGTTCAATAGCCCTATAGCCTTATAGCGCAATAACCCTAGAGCCCGACAGCCTATAACCCTGTAGCCCTGTAGCCCTATAGCCCTAGCCCTACAGCCCAACAGCCAAATAGCCCTATAGCCCTCTAGCCCTCTAGCTCTATAACCCCAATAGCCCCATAGCCCCGTAGCCATATAGCCCCACAGCCTCAAATCAGATTATGATTGGGGTTTCTCTCCTGTATCATTTACTTTGCGTCCAGAATCCGCCTGTATGGGGGACATGCCTGCCCTAACATTGGGATAGGGGGCTCACTGCGCAGGAACAGTGCTACACCTTGAGGTGTACAGGGAGGCCGTGCCGCCCAATGCGGGGCGGAGACGCCCTTGCGGGCGTTCAAGATTGAGCACCCGCCGGGGGCTCGTGTGGGCACTTGGGGCCTACAGAAAACAGCCAGAAGCGCGAACTTTGTAGGAGAGATGGGGGTGACAGCTTCCTGGAAAGTTCCCAGAGCGGAGATCGCTCAAGATCGAATGGGTTACTCGAAGTTCGGATCCAGAGCCCACGCTGTCACGGCATCAGCTTCTCGTGTTTATTTGGTTGCGCTGCAGCTCGTGTCCGCCACTGCGTTCGGGGAAGTTGCGCAGCATCGCTGCAGTGTGTCATTGCCATGGCCTTGCCTCTTTTCTGCACGCCAGCGTTTTGTGGCTTGGAGCCCAACGTAATATTCTTGGCCCGCTGGCAGCTGCCTTCTCCCAGGCAGCTCTGACGTGCCCAATCTGTTGCCGATCGCATTTTCATATTCTCGACGTTTTCCGTGTAATAACCAGCTTTCCCCGCTCCTGCCGCTTAGGGCCTAATTTAGCCCGCTGCTCGTTAGCTGCGCGTTGACTTGACGCCGTGCGATGTGTCGCTACGGTCGCGATCAAACAAATCCCCACCAGCCCATCCAGAAACGATGCCCAGATTAATTGCATTGATAAGGGAAGTGTGGGAAGCTTGCAGTGGAACAGCGAGAAAAGGCAGCTGTCAAACCGAAGGTCGGGATCAGTCTGAGCAGAACCATGAATCAACCGTACAGGTCGGGAATCTTTGGCTTTGGGAGCCTCTTAGCTGTACTCGGGGGTTATTGTGGAGACCTCTTGGGGAAAGGTTGGACGTCTTTTGGGCTCTCTTAGTGCCCTCTTGGGGCCCTCGTGGGGGCCTTGCGGGCCCTCTTGGGGCCAACTTGAAGGCCATCGATTGAAACGTAGGGCGGCGCGTATTGCGCCCCCCTTGTCGGGGCCCTCACAATCGTTTCCCGTGGCCCTGTTGGGGCGCTCCGGGGGCGCTCTTGGGTGCTCTTGGGGCCGTGTTGGAGCCCTTATGGACTTTCAGGGCTGTTGGAGCCGTTACGAGGCGTCAGACGCCACGAGGCGAGATGGCACACAACTTTAATTCTAGACGCTTCGCGTATCCCCACCAGCCCGTCCAGAAATGAGTCCCAGGGGAGTGGAGGTTATGAGGGAAGCGGGGGAGCATGCAGAAGAACAAAGGGCGGGGTGAGCCGCCATATACCCCAAGAGGGGGAGGATGTAGGAGGAGCCGTCGTCGTCGGAGTAGGAGGAGGAAGAGGAGGAGCAGGAGGAGGAGCAGGAGGAGGAGGAGGAGGAGGATAGAAGGAGGAGGAGATGGAGGACTGCGAGGACGAGGAGGACGAGAAGGAGGAAAAGGAGAAGGAGGAGGAGGAGGAGGAGGAGGAGGAGGAGGGGGAGGGGGAGGAGGGAGGAGGAAGAAAAAGAGGAGGAGGAGGAGGAGGACAATTGCGAGCTTGGGGGCCTCTTGGGCCGTCCTTGGGGCCTCTTGGCGGTCCCGGGGGCCTCTTGCGTATCTCGGGGAGCCTCTTGTGGCCTCTTGGGGGTCTCTTGGGGGCCTCTTGGAGGCCTCTTGGGGGCCTCTTGGGGCCTCTTGGGGCCCTCTTGGGGCGCTCTTGGGGCGCTCTTGGGAGCCTTCGAGGCGCTCTTGGGGCCATCTTGGAGGAGATCTATCAAAGAAGGGGGAGGTCCCCAATTAGCGCTGCTCCTCTAGAGTGCCTCGAGTCGCCTCTTGGGCCCCCCCAAGAGGCCAAAATCCTTCCAAAACCTAGGTAAAATCAATGTTTGTTGCTTTCTCGCCTTTTCGCTCTTGGAGCCGTCTTGGGTCATCTTGGACTCTCTTGGGGCCTCTTGGGGGTCTCTTGGCAACGTCTTGGAGGCTTCTTGGGGGCCTCTTGGGGTCTCTTGGGGCCCTCTTGAGGCGCTCTTGGGGCGCTCTTGGGAGCCTTCGGGGCGCTCTTTGGGCCATCTTGGAGGAGATCTATCAAAGAAGGGGGGGTTGCTTATTAGCCCCGCCCCTCCAGAGTGCCTCGAGTCGCCTCTTGGGCCCCCCCAAGAGGCCAAAATCCTTCCAAAACCTAGGTAAAATCAATGTTTTTTGTTTTCTCGCCTTTTCGCTCTTGGACCCGTCTTGGGCCATCTTGGACGCTCTGACACCTCGCGACCGGCCCCGTCCAGGTCAGTGGGGAGCGCTCCGGGGGCGCTCTTGGGTGCTCTTGGGGCCGTGTTGGAGCCCTTATGGACTTTCAGGGCTGTTGGAGCCGTTACGAGGCGTCAGACGCCACGAGGCGAGATGGCACACAACTTTAATTTCCTTCTGTTTTGGACGGACTTTGGCCTCTCGAGGGTGTCTTTGGGAGGCTTCGTGGTCACTTGGAGCCGTCTTGGGGCGGTTTTGGGGCCTCGTGGATGCATGTTGGAGCATGTTTTGAGACATTTTGAGCTGTCTTGTGCCCCATAGCGAGCTCCTGCGAAGGCCCCAGTGGCAGGGTTCACATGGCGGCCTCGGCACACCCTTCACGAGGATCGTGGCCCCATAGGGAGCTCCACCGAAGGCCCCCGCGGCAGAGTTCGCATGGCGGTTTCGGGTGATTTCGGAACAGCCCTCACGAGGATCGTGGCCCCATAGGGCAGGGTTCGCATGGCGGCCTCGGGTCATCTCGGGACACCCCTCACAAGGATCGTGGTCCCATAGGAAACTTCACCGAAGGCCCCGGTGGCAGGGTTCGCATGGCGGTCTCGGGCGATTTCGGCGTATCCCTCACGCTTCGTGGCCCCGTAGGTGGCTCTGAAGGGAGGCCCCAGTGGCGGCGCTCGCATGCGTCCCCCGCTCAT